TGGTAGTGGTGGTGGTGGTGGTAGCCGTAATCTTAGTAGTGGTAGTAGCGGTGGTAGTAGTAGTAGTAGTAGTAGTAGTAGTAGTAGTAGTAGTAGTAGTAGTAGTAGTAGTAGTAGTAGTAGTAGTAGAAGGAGTAGTAGTAGTAGTAGTAGTAGTAGTAGTAGTAGTAGTAGTAGTTAGTAGTAGTAGTAGTAGTAGTAGTAGCAGTAGTAGTAGTCGTCGTAGTAGTGGTAGTCAAAGGAGGAGGAGCAGGAGTAGGAGGAGGAGGAGCAGCAGCAGCAGTAGTGCTAGCTGATGAATGTCTATTGAGCCAGGAGGCCGACTTGCGTCAGGAGCCTGACCCGCATGTGATGCCTCCTCGCAGACATGCGACGAACCTTCAATTCCCAAGTCGTCAACCCGACCCGAAACCGGGCAAAGCGTATGTGGTTCCCAGCAAGCACCTCATCCCTGCGGATCTTGATGACGCCCCCACGGCACTCTTCGAGGTGCAAGGCCTTATGGATCTCTGTGTTGACTCCACGGAGGGGGGTGGGCCCCAAACGCTTCGGTGAAAGGAAGGGGGGACACGAAGGGTCGAAGGGCTTAAAGGGGGGCATTGCTCGAAACGTGGTCGCATTTCGGGGAGGCAGCAAGCAATAACAAACGTACGTCTTGGCTTTCAGGTGGTAAGAGGCGACGAAAATGAACTCCACCAGCTCGTTTCGGTGTGGCACAACGCGAAGCAGCGAAAAGACAAAGTTCCGACAAGGGACGAAAAGCCGCACGCAATTCGCTCCCGGTGGATCAAGAGTCAAGAACAATCTTCTTTTGCGGAGTGTAAGAATATATGTTTGATCTTTCGGGTGTTAAAAGCGAGAAAATCAAACTGAAGTCGTTTGGGGGTGTCAAGAAGCGAGACCGCGAAAACAAGAAGTTCTGACTTGCGAGAAGGAGAAGTCGTACGTCTTCGGTTTCGGATGGAGAGATTGAAAAGTAGAATACATCCCTATGCAGTCCATCCAGAAAATGAAACCGACATGAATTCGCTTTAGGGTTGGTAAAACGCGAATCAGTTCCCACTTCCGAAAAAAGGGGGAAGCTGTACTTCGTCGCGTTGGTGGAGGAAATCGTGCAAAGAATGAATTCCTGCACAAAGGACGGAAAGTCGCACGCATTCGCTCTCGGTGGATCAAGACTGAAAAAATCAAATCGGAACGTCTCGCCTTCAGGGTCTCGAAAAGAACCTACATTTCGACTCTCGGCGAACGAGAAAAAAGAAGCCGTACGCCTTCGCTTTCGGCGGGTTGAAACAAGGCGACGAAAGCAAAATGGAAACGTCTTCGGTTTCCCCAAACGCCCCCTTTAAAGCCCCCTTTTAAGTTTGTCTGGATTACCCCCCCTCTTTCAGAGACCCCCTTAACTCCCCTTGAAGGCCTAACCCAGAACCCGAAGCAGTACATGATTACTTCGCCGACGCAACCCTGAGCCCAATGGAACATCAGCGAAGGACGAAAGAAAATGGCTGCACCGACCCGAGGCGGAAGAATGTGAGGCTGCCAGGAAAACCGCACTGCAGACTCTAAGAACTAGCAAGAACAACACTCAGCCTGGGAGTGCGACTGCTAGCTTAACAGACGTTCTTGGGACCTTATTTGGTTCTTACAATCATCTTGCCCGGAGTCAGAGGAACCCGGATATGTGTAGAGAACCCGGCTTGCTTCCGTTCAGCTCCCAGGGAGTCCTTCATCCAATTCCCCGGCGCCAAGGCTCTGGCACCGCTGCCAGTGGAGCCTCCAAGCTGGAGGTCAAGCTCCTTCAGGGCCGCTCTCGCCAAACTTCGTCCTTCATATCTGTGCCGACGCATTGAAGTTTACAAATTCCGAATCCTTCGGACACCGTACCTCCAACCGCACAGAGAAAGTCTTCGGCTGCTTTTGCTGCCCTTGCATCCCGAGCTTCAATAACTCCTGGATGAGTTGTGATAGCCAGCTACGGTATGTGTCGAGTTAAAGGTGGAGCCGTTTCTAGGATCGCAGCCCTATCGCAAGACTACATCAGGCGGATTCAGGCCGGAGTGACATTAGAGAGTGACGTGGAAGATGCTCAGGTTTAAGTGGTTGCTTCATACCTGCACCGAACAGAGGCGCTTCCATCTCGAACGCTACTGAGCGAAGGCATGAAAGTGCGGGTCGTAACCACGATACGTTCGAAAGCAACAGAAGGCAATGCACGAGCAACGGCATCGCTCTCAACAATAGCTAGCATAGATCAGCCGATGCGCAGCACAGAAACAAAAATGAGATAAGCTGTAACATTAGCGCTTCAAAGCGACTTGTCGGGACCGCCCAAAAAACCTCAATTTCCAACCTTCGTTCTAAGGCCTGCTCGAAGATGCTGGTGCGCGCCAGCAGGTCCAAAGGAGTGGTGCCCTCGTCATCCTCCATAAGGAGTGTCGCTGGTGCAAGCCTGGGAGGAGAACAAGTTGACAGCAAGCCTGGTCAGTTTCTCAGTTTGATATTCTTGCGTGACATACACATACATGTCTGCGTCACGCATATATACATATTCATATAAACATACACAGACATGCACATGTGCATGTGTGGGTATGTATATATATATATATATATATGTGTGTGTACCTCTCTCTGAGTGTCTGTGTACACACTACGTGCCTATGTATGTCAACGAAGATGTGGGCACACATTAATGCAGGACTGGATGAACGAACGAACTTCCGAACGAAGAAAGGAAGGAAGGCATGGACGAATGAATGAATGGACGGATGGATGGATGGATGGATGGATGCATGGACGGATGGATGGATGGATGGGTGGGTGAAAGGGTGGATGGATGGGTAAAACATATATATATATATATATATATATAGATATATGTGTATATATATATACATATGTATGTACATGTATATGTATATGTACGTGCATATGCATATGCACACACACACACACATGTACAAACAAACACACACGTACACACAAACACATACATATAGAATTTATACATATACATGCACCAAACCATGTACCCGTGTACTATATGTACATGCTGACACCGAGACATTCAAACACATGCATGCGCATGCAGACGTACGTACATCTACTGCATGTTTCAAAACACTACCATATTATCCGTAGTGAAATTGGCCAACCAGAGATCGTGTCGCATAATGACGTGTAGTGTCGTGTGAGACACCGTCGTGTCGTGTGATCTCGGGTGGTGCGGTGTGGTATGGTGTGCTGTAGTGAACAGTAGTAGTTTCCGTTTGCATGCATGTGCTTGTGCAGGCATTCACATAAGTACGTATGTGTGCACCCATGCATGTATGTTAAGATGTATGTATGCGTGCCTGCAGACACACATGTGTATATTTTGTATGCGCGCATGCATGCATGCATGCATGCATGCATGCATGCATGCATGCATGCATGCATGCATGCATGCATACATGTATGCATATAAGTATACGTACGTGCAAACTAGGTATGTATGGTCGAATGTATGTAGGTATGTATGTACATATGTATGTACGTATGCATGTTGTATGCATGTGGTGACTGAGTATGTATGAATGTAAATAAGTGCGTCTGCATGTCCCTATGCATGCATGCATTGTTGTGTATGTATGTAAGCGTGTATGTGTGGTTTAGCTTTGCTTGTTTTGTGTGTCTTCATTGTTGGTTGTTTGTTTGCTTATGTGCTCGTTTGTTTGTTCGTTTGCATGTTTGCATGCGCATATGCACATATGTGTATAGGTATGCATGAATGTATGCACGTACGCATGTATGCATGCCTGCTTGGATGGATGGATGGATGGATGGATGGATGGATGGAAGGATGGATGGAAGGATTGATGGATGAATGTATGCAAGAGATATGAGCAGCAGTAGGGGTTGCAGTACTAGTGTGATGGCAAGAATAAAAGCCTGCCTGTATGTCGTAACATGCAACAATGCTGCCTGCACTGTATTCGTTAATATGCAAGCAGTTTGTGCGTGTACCTGTATGCGTATACATGTGTATACATATACATATACACACACACATATATTGACGCGTTTGTGTGTCTATCTATACAAATATATGTATATGAGACTCATACACACTCCAGTCGGCCTGTGATGCTTGTAACAAACACAAGCTGCACAGAAGGCGGAGCCGGTAGCAACGAGCGAACAACGGACTCACCTCAGAAAAGACACACTAAACAGGTCATGTAGAGACCCTTGAAATGCATAGCTGAATAACGGGAAGACGGCAGTGGTCATGATCTCAAAAGCCGGGAACCATATTGAAAAAGCATGCCAGTCAGGATCCTTTCGGCGATACCCTTCTGACACATCCAAGCAAAACACAATTCGTTGAGTGTGGTGTCTGAGGCATCGACTGCAAAATCCTCACCAAAAGCCTGGGCGCACGCTTGAGGCTTCCAGCTTAGATGTTACTGCCCAAGCCCGGTCAAACATCTTCTGGTTTCATCTGTTTTCAAAACTTATGTCAATGTGGGGAAGCTGCGGAATTGAATCCTAAGCCCCAGGCTCCCGGAGCTTTTCTGCAAAAACTCTACGCCCAGCATTTTGAACCTCATTCCTGGCAAAAAGACCACCTTCTGAACTCAGGACTGACCCTGCCGCCCTAATCGATAAGCGCGTCAGAAAGCACTGTCACAACCCAGACAGCTTCGGATGTCCTGAAACAAGTAGATGCTAAAAGCTACAGCTTGCCACCGGGAGGCTCAAGTGACATCTGAGACCCAGCGCCCGCGGCCAGATGTGCCGGGAGGCGGCCCCTCTTCGGCTTTTTCGGGTTCAGCGGTTTCGGGATCTGGAGCTAAACCCGAAACCCTAAACCGTTAGGCTAGGGTTCCGGGTTTCACAGCTTAGCCCGGTAGCCTTGTGCACACCCGCAGACTCCACAATACGTGTCTTTGCTTCCGGAAGCTATGATGACCCGTCTAGGGTTTAGGGTCTAGGGTATGGTGGTCCTTCATCAGGGATCCTGAAATAAGGGAGTTTGGGGTCTTTGGGAAAGGGCTCGGGCAGGGTCTGTGCTCAGGGGCCAGAGCCCAGAATTCCGGGTCCGAAAGGACTCAAAAGTGTTGCTTCAAGAATTTGAATGCCTGGTGACTGATATATAGGGGCCTTAATAATTAGAATGGGGTTTCGGGGCCCAGTACACCGTTCTTATAGTAAGGAACCCCCAAATGGTGTGGGTAATTATTTAGGCCCCTACACTAGTGACTAGTGCTGTGCAATTTGTGTAAGCATCTCGCTGGGGTGGGAAATGGCCCAACAAGCGCAGTGTTGTCACCAAACGGATGTCGAAACTGCAGGCACGGGAAAAGCTTGCTAAGACTTCGAGCAAACACCACGTCAACCTCAGTGTCCTATAGTATGTATTAGTCTGTTATAACATAGTAATTATATTATAGCATACTATAGCCTGCTAGTACAATAAAGTATATTCTACAGCAGCGGCTTCAGAATCGCCAGCCCTTTAGACTGAGCAGCACGTATCAATTCGATTCTCTGCCGTCGAACAGTAACTGAGAAGTAACGACCACAACATTCCACAATTGTATTGCATTCTGTCACGCCCTCGTCGTGATGGCTGCAGCTGTTGATCTTGCTGCTCGTCGGCATTGCTGCCGCTGCTGTCGTGGTGGTCGTGGTCGTGGTTGCGGTGGTGGCTGTTGTTGTGGTGCCTAGCGAGTCATGGCTACGTAGTGTACATCTTCTTTTTAATGCTGCTGGCTCCAGTCGGCTGAGCCTTGAGTAAGGCTCAACCCAATTGCCGAAACGCCCGGACTTCCCGAAGCCCAACGAAAGCCTCCTAAGACTTGAAGGTATACATAGGCCTAGGAGCGTGATGTATGGTAGGGCCTGGCATCATCAGCGCCTACAGACCATTTTGCTAAAGAAATCGATTCCTGTGAAGTAGTACCGACTCAGCTCTGCTATTGCCCCCTAAACCCTAAACCCTAAACCCTAAACCCAAAACCCAAAACCCAAAACCCAAAACCCTATACCCAAAACCCTAAACCCAAAAGGGCTCCGCAGGCCTGGCGTCCCCCGCAAGGAGGCTGGCACCGCTGCGGAGCAGGCCCATGAAGTGGAAGGTTTCAGACTCCCGAAGCTCCTGGCTTCAGGGCTTACCTGTAGTCGCCAGTGTAGTTCCTTTTTGGGGATGCCTTATAAAATCCTTAATATATATTTGGCTAAACCAAAAAAAAGGAACTACAATGGAGACTACAGGTAATGTACCAGGACCCCCCAGTGGCCCTTTAATAGAGCCCTGATGGTCCTTAATAGTAGGTATTTGGGGCATAATAGAGGGTAGTTGGGGGGTCTAGGTAAGGGCCTTAATAATTAGAATAGGATTTCGGGGTATATTATATAAGTATAGTATCATAAGGAACCCTCAAAATAGTATAGGTACTTATTAAGGCCCCTATATTAGAGTCTTTGGGCTCGGGCCCTGGAGTTTCCAAGAGGATCCCTATAGGGTTTGCAGGGGGCTTTGGGGTTGCGGTGCTGGGGCTCGGACTCGCACGATGTCTGCTTCAGAGTTGACCCTTTTGCTGCTCTTTGAGGTTTGTTTCAAGTGCGCCGTGGCAGGGGTTTCCGGCTGCCCTGAGGTTTCAGCTTCAGGCCCCGAAGACATGGCTACCCATAGGCCCCGTAGTAGTTCCTTTTTGGGGTTACCTTATAGGATTCTATATACGAACCCACAACTACTTTAGGGCCTATGGGTAACAACTGAAGCCGAACGAACGACTGGACCTGCGCACCTGGTTTGGTGGAGCCTAGAGAAGAGAGTTGTAGCGAGCAGAGATCCGGCATCGCAAGCGATTCTGCGCTTGTGGGGAACATCAGCACCTAAACCGTTAACCCCTGAACCGCAAAGCCGTAAATCCTCCCTTCGGACTTCTGAACCTGACCGAAACTCGCAACATCTGAAGATTTACCGTTTTTGTCCGGCCGTCCTCGCGTCGTGCGCAGCCTTGTTTGTCGTATCAGGGATTGGTTGCAGGCTTTTCTAGCTACGAGCAGTAAGTTGAGGTGCAGGGTTGCAGACTGACTCTTATGGTGAGTGAAGGCATAATTAGGTCAAGAGGTCGAGCAAACAACTG